GCAATCAGCGGTTGTAGGATTAAGTTGTACAAGGCTTCATACACCACTAGTTGGCAGTGCTGTGCATGTATTTTACATGAATTGTTGCCAGCTAGTAAGTGTCAAATGGCATAAGTGCTTTTGAAGTTGCGGACCCAAATATTTTTATAAGAGCTTTAGAAATTGCGGAGCTAAATTTTTGGATTAGTGCTGCCCACCACTGCTGCTACTCAAAAAAAAGTTATTCTCATATGTGGCTTTGATCAGAGYTTTACAGGAACACGTGGTTTTGTTGTACAGGAATTATCCCTTGAGCCTGAAGGACCTGCAGCAGGCCTTGCAGAGCAGCYACATCCATGAGGACCTGGTGTTTCCTGCAGCAGTGCGGGATCCTGATGAAGGACATGCTCTGAGACTTTTCCCCACCGCTGTCAGACTTGTGACAGAGAGAGCCTCTCATGGAGACTGGCTCCTGCGCAGCAGCTGGCTCTCACATCTGGGGAGGAGCCATAAACACGCACCTGGTTTGTTGCACCAAACACACCAACACAGACTGCTCCAGAGCTGACACTTCTTACTGATCCCTTGGTTCTATATGTTTGTTTAGAGGCAGCTCTGGTCCATATGGAAGCAGGAAGCTGTGCTTTAACGGCTGTGTTCAGCAGTGAGCTCACTGCTAAAGGAAAATCACTGGCAGTGTCGCTCCAGCCTCAAAGCACAGGTAAGTGTTCTGCTGTGTGGTTCTGGTGAAYACTCACTGAACTAGATCGGGGCCATAAAGTTTGTTCGGAAAAATTATTTTGAAGCTGGAAAAAAATTACGAAATGGGAATTAAAAACATTCAAAAGCACTTAATTATTTTTTTCCAGGAAATGTCTTTAAAACATTATTTAATGCATGTCAGTATATTTCTTCCCCTGAGATCTGCYTCCTACTCAAAACTAATAAACAGTCACATAAACATATAATATTGCTGATGTTTCAATGACATATTTAGTTCCCAGGGTTCCTGAATGCAACAGCTGTCAGTCATGATTCCACACCTCATGTCATCTGAGGCCCCGCCCCCATGATAAAACATGGCCAGAAGTTTGAAACTGAAATTTAAAAATAAAATCTGAAACCAAAACTGATAAAAAAAACCAACTAAAACTCATTTTTCCTTCCGTTTCAAAACTATTTTTAGGGTTCCCACGGGTCCTTGAAATCCTTGAAAGTTTGTGAATTTGAAAAAATTATTTCAAGGCCCTGGAAAG